TACAAAAAGCCAATACATCCAAGAGACAAGCCTACTTATAGGACTTTTATAGATTTTTTCCTCTATTTTGTTTATCTCTGATTATTTATGAACATGTTATCTTTTTGCTGACACAGCGTTGCATTCAGACTGCTTACACAGTGTGTATTTGAGGTGCAAATTTTGTTTAGCAATGAAAATATTAAATCAATGACTCAAACAGCATCAAGCAGCAAATATGTTCATTGAGACATTGCCGGAAATATCCTGCAGTGCTCTAAATCTCCTTCAGTTTTATTCATTTGGGAGAAATTATATGACTTCAGGTTGCATTTCATCTCAAAAGTGCACAATCTTTAATTCCATAACATATAAACTACACAAAAAGAATTTTTGTAAACAAATTATGTTATATATGTACAATGTCTGTGTGTGTGTGTTGGCAGGACATGAAGATGTGGCTGCCAAAATTCAAAGTGGCGTCTAGCAACAGGATACCCGCAGAAGTGACCCAGCGGACCAAGGCCCTGTGGGTGAACCGCGACCACCCGCCTCAACCTGATGATGACACTTCGCCTAGGGAGGGTACGGCCGAGGGTATTGTGGGAGAGCGTGGCGCTCTCTCACAATACCCATCAACCACATGAAGCAACTTTCTAGCAACGTTTTTAATTATTAAGTAGAAACGTTCTAGTAACGTTTTTGACATGAAAAACGTCATAGCAATGTTTTTTATGATTAAGTAGAAACGTTCTAGTAACGTTTTTGATGACATGAAAAACGTCATAGCAATGTTTTTTATGATTAAGTAGAAACGTTCTAGTAACGTTTTTGATGACATGAAAAACGTCATAGCAATGTTTTTTATGATTAAGTAGAAACGTTCTAGTAACGTTTTTGATGACTTATGAAAAACGTCATAGCAATGTTTTTAATGATTAAGTAGAAATGTTCTAGTAACGTTTTTGATGACTTATGAAAAACGTCATAGCAATGTTTATAATGATTAAGTAGATACGTTCTACTAACGTTTTTGATGACATAAGAAAAACGTAATAGCAATGTTTTTAATGATTAAGTAGATACGTTCTAGTAACGTTTTTGATGATATGTGAAAAACGTCATAGCAATGTTTTTAATGAATACAAAATGAAACGTTCTGGTTACGTCATGTGTTTGGGTGGGATTACATTTTTTAAGATTCCATCTGCACCAGGGACTCGGTTATGAACATTTATGTTATTTTTTTTATTCTGGTGAACATCGGATGGTATATGGCAAGGTATGTCACATGTTTCTTGGTGTTCTGATGAGGTGTTATACACTCATTTTGGTGTTATTCTGCAGTGTTATACACTCAGAGCATGTTATATACTGCAACACTTAGCATGCAACACATGCTAAGTGTTGCAGTATTGCAGACGAGGTGTACGACGGGGGTAACAACACAATGATGCTTGTGGAGCAATACACTGTGACGTTCTGCTGTCAGTTCTACATGGTCAAGTACCCGTTCGACTCCCAGCTGTGCACCCTCCGCTACTTGGTCCCACACACCAGAAGCAACATCCGCTACGTCATTGTGAGTTCCTCTCAAGCTCCTGCCTCATGCTTATGCCTCACGCTACGGCCTCACGCTACGGCGTCACGCTACGGCCTCACGCTCCGGCGTCACTCTACGGCCTCACGCTCCGGCGTCACTCTACGGCCTCACGCTCCGGCGTCACTCTACGGCCTCACGCTACGGCCTCACGCTCCGGCCTCACGCTACGGCCTCACGCTACGGCCTCACGCTACGGCCTCACGCTACGGCCTCACGCTCCGGCCTCACGCTCCGCCCTCATGCTCCGCCCTCATGCTCCGACTTCACGCTCTATCCCTGCTAGTAACATTTCGATGAAAGTATCTCCCACTCTTGATTATTACTGCACTCGCTACTCCGTCCCGACCACAAATTTCTTTACCCCTTTGGTGCACTATTCCCGCCACCACTATCTTTCTGGTGCACTAATCCCACCCCCACAAACCTTCTGGTGCACAATTCCCACCACCACTTTTCTGGCATCATTCCAATCACTGCTTTACAAATCCAAGTGAAACACGGAAGGTTGATAATACATTTTCATCATCTCTTGAAAAAAAGTATCCTAAGTTGAACTGGTACCTGCATTCCTGGTCAATGTGTGCAGTCTGTGTGTAGTGTCAGTGGCTGGAGTGCCAGTGTTTTAAGTGCCAGTGGGTATATTGTCAGTGGATGTAGTGCCAAGAGAGCAGTCAAAGTGTTCGCAGTTATTTTGCACATAACTCGTTTTCTAATAGTTTGGAGAGGTTAGATTGTTTTAGTTTAACTATGTTACATTACGTTACGTTAGGTTTAGTTATATTGTGCTAGGTTAGACTACATTAAGTTAGGTTAATTGTGATTTATTTCAACAACACAATTCGTTGACCAACCTTCTTATGTGCACAATTAATTATGTTCCTCTGAAAACTTATATTTTCTTATATAATCTGCTTTTCTCTCTCTTTCCGCGGCACCGTAGGAGTGGGTGAGGTTCGGGGGTGACCGCGTGTTGCTGGAGTACGAGGTGGTAGGCGTGTCAGCCTACAGTAATTTATCTGACAAGTCATTCTTCGAGGTGAGATACTTAACACATTATCCTTTCTCATTGTGCTAGGATACAATATATATCCTCCTCCCTCAGTGTTACAAGGGATATGAGTGGGGCTTCTATGGGGTACTGGTACTATTCAGGGGTAAAGGTAGTTAGAAGACAAGAGTATCAAATATGGGAGAGCTAAAAGGCCCGGCCCCCAAAATAAACTATCCACAGTAGTAATAACTTGCTACAAGACCATATATGTTAGTCTAAGGGTTGATCACTGCGCTCCCACCTTGGAAGAAGGGATACTCTGTAATTCATGTACTTATTTATTAACCCCTTAACAACCCCCCATATACACTCACACCAATAACAATAATAATAATAACTTTACCACACTATCTTACGTTAAAAGCCTTGGTCCACATAGACAGGATACAAGGTTTACACTAATAACAAGCTAGGGTAAAGTACTACTGGATAAGCACTGAAGCTGGATGCAGCTTAGGGTAGTGAGACCATGTGGTACCCTAATACAAAACACAACTCTTAGGGTAAACAAAACACTGGCAAATACTAACCCCAGGTCTCACCAATAGTTACTACCAGAGTAGGTACACTTACTGATGCCCCGTACTTAGCTTAAGGATACAGGAACTTCAGGTAAGGGAAATAAGTAAGAGGAGAAGGGAGAAGAGTAGGGATACAGCCACAGAGTAGGTCTTATCCGCACACACCAGCCAGAGAGAAGAACGAGCTAGCCACCAGCTGCCTTCCTCATGTCGTGGTGCCGGGAGGAGCCTAATTGATCGTGCAGCTAAGCACATTAAAGATCTTCCCCTATGCAACGTATTGTTACTTTATGAATGATTAGAAAGTATTAGTAAGCAAAGTTGGTGCCTATGTTATTATTTAATAATCAACCCCCAGCTCAGTCTTTAAATGCTCTTTGAGAAACAATAATAGTCTTACGTCTGGCAGGGAAGATACAAACAATTGCTATTCGAGATGCCCAACTGTACTACCAGGAAGTTTAATAGCTCAATTTTGACCTCTGGTTTCCACTGGAGAACCCAGGGTCGTAACACTCCTCCCCCCTTCAGAGAAAAAAAAAATGTGACTACTAGAATAGTAGTCATATTTTTTGTAAGAGTATACAGAGAATAAAAAGAAAAACATGACAAAAACAAAAAATCAATCAAAAACAATTTCTCTGCAAAAACAAAAAAAAATACAAAGGAGTTCTCTGAAAGAAAAAAAAACACAAAAAATAAAAGAACAGGGAAGTAAAGAAATTGGACACGGAATATTTAATGTCACAGGAGAACCTAAAAAAAATAACTAAAGCATGACAGTTGGTAAATGGCTTTCTGTGGCTCAGATGAATGTTATTCAGGCAACCGGGACAGAGCGTCGGCCATCACGTTGAGTCTGCCCGGTAGGTGGGTAATGGAATAGAACGAATCATTCCTCTCTCTCTCTCTCTTTATCTCTCCCTCATAGTGAGGCAAGTGTGTGTGTGTTGCGATGTTCTATACCACATCTGTACCCATTTGGGGACTCTTTAGAAGTCTTACTTGTCCGTGGCTACATTTACAAGCTACTGAGAACAAGTTTTGACAAATTACAGGTCATAGATCCGCGTATTATTCGAGAAGGAATAGTGTCAACATTATCACTGTGGAACATTCCAGAACGAGATGGAGCCAGGGAAGTCTCGTTGCGTCACGGGGATACAGCAACATGAAGAGACAACAAAATGTTCAACCAATGGGAGGCGAGTTCCACAGTCACACCCTCTCTGTATCCTTCACTCCTATTGGTTCATGTAGACACTCACTGGATCGCTAGTGTGAAACGAGTCACTCGCTGACTGTCCTTCGTGAGCTGAAGTCCTGCTAACTTTTAGCTCCGACCTGGAAGTATCGCTCCTAACTGACTCCCAGCACGACGTACGTGTCCACAAACTTTGAGCAGCACGAGGTTTCATTAGGAACTGTGGGGGCCAGCTTTTGCCAGGTTGCAGCCAGCTTGGATGAGGCCGGATGAGTGTGTTAACCGTGGACCGAGAGCTAAAGACCCATCGTTGCACCCACAAGGACAAGATGGTAACCCGATGAATGAAGGAGCAGCAAAGGCATAACTAACACGAGGGCTGCAGGGGCAAGATGCACCTCCAACCTCTATCCTTGAGGAAAACCAGCTGTCAAGGAAACAGGACATGAATGGGATTACAGCCAAAATAAAGATAAGGGAACATTTATACTAATGTTTCAAAAATCGGTAAATAATAGTATATATTTCTATAAGATCTTTTTTTATTTTAAATTCTAATTTTCATAATATATTGATATGTGTAACTCTGGTGACCCCGAGCAAGCTGTAGACAGGTGAGAGTAGGTCAGGGATGAAGGCGGGATGGACACAGGGACGGTCATCAACATGCACTCGCCTCCACAGATGCAGGTGGAGTTCAGGAACCAACGAGGCTACTACATCGGCAACGCCTTCCTGCCCAGCCTTCTCCTCTCCATCGTCTGCTACCTCAGCTTCTACTTCGCTATCGACGACTTCCAGGTCAGACAACGTCTTGAGTTTCTTGGTGTTGTATTCCAGTTTATCTTCGAAATCCCTCCCTCCCTCAAAAAAAAAGAATAATATTTTGCGAGTAGAGAATGTTTGATGTGAGATAGTTCACTATCTCTCAGTTTCTCTTTACAGCTGTGTTTCTCACTTGCAGCAGGTGAGGTATCCTCATTCTCGAGGTCAGGAACGAAGGTCACATTCTCGTTGAACACGGTCATTTAACTCCTAATTACTCATCTCGTTATTACCACATCTTTACTACACACGATCTTCATCATTGCAACATGTTTACTAATAATGACGATCTTTTAAGACTTCTAGTGCCTTCCTAGATTTCTAGGGCCCTCCCAGACATTAAGGGGCCCTTCCAGATATCTTGGCCTCTCCTAGACTTCTTGACCCTTTCAAGACTTCTGGTGATCTCTCAGACCTGCGAAGCCCTCCAAGACCTCTGGGGGCCCTCCTTGACTTCATGCTTCAATGTGTGGTCTCCCGGTTTTCAGGACCGCGTGATGGTGTCTCTGACTTCGCTGCTGGTGCTGACAAGTCTACTGACGCAGACCAACCAGTCCATCCCGAAGACGGCGTACCTCAAGCTCATCGACATCTGGTACATCGTCCTCATCTGTCTAGACTTCCTTATCATCGTGGTCCTGGTATTCATAGAGAGCCTTCGCCGGCGGGTCCAAACATCGGCAGTGTCGTCGGGCGGGTCACAGATTAAGGTCAAGAGCTACGGGTCTGGATCTGTAGCTCTGGAACGCCAAGAACTGCCAAAGGACCATGTGGTCTGGAGGAAGGGGATGTTTCAGCAACCGGAAAATAAGTACCACAACATTACCCAGGAGGATAAAGCCAGGAAGGTGAACCAGATCTCAATCCTTGTGTTCCCCATTATCATCGTGTGCTTTCTGGGAGTCTTTTTCTATAATGCCTTCGTCAGCCAGTCGCGCTGATGGCAAGTAATGTGAGATCCAGGACCTCGAGTGTGGACTTTCTTTGCTGGTTATTTTTGGTGTTCTTACTCAGTTTTGGGAAAGAGAAAATTTGCATTCCTTTCAATATAAGAAATAATTCATGTGATTCAGTGTTCATAGCTCACTACACAATATGTAGAGTAGATCAGTAACCCTCTGTATACACAACACACGACAATGCCTGTATGCCCATTACCATTGTAAAAAATGCCCCAATCACTTTCTGTGGTTGAGTGCTCCATAACGCACTATATACTGTACAGCCCGTCCTCCAAAAATGGGGAGATAAATGTAACAGCCCCATTAGTACAATTATGTACTATGTATGACAGTCAGTAATTGTACTTATTTTCACCTAGTATTAAACCGTAGTCAAATATATTGTGAATATTTGAGTTTACCTGAAAAGCTGAATAGAAAACCACGACCTAACCTAATTGTCTTAGTTTTCGAAGATAAATATTTTATTGCTTATTAATTACAATTACTACTTAATCTATAGCTATATTGATATTACAGTTTTATAAAACAAAATAAAAATATTTCAATAAATTGTAAAGTAACTCAGAATATTTTCAAATTTTGTATAAAATCTCTATTGTTTAATAAAACTGAAAAATCAATTTTTGATATTTAAAACCTGTGAAAAGCATCCTGAATTCTATAATTTCATCTTAAAATTCTGAGTGTTTTATTAATAGAAATCGAGGAGAATAAATGGGGAGGTAAATGTAACAGCCCCATAAGTGCAATTATGTACTTATTACACTTAGTATTAAAACGTACTGTAAATTCGGAGGATGGGTTGCTGTAGTAACTCTCTACTCTTTTTCTATGTAGAGCACATGAAAATTTATGTATGGTATTTAACATTGTATAAATGTATGACTTCGTCGGTGGCAGAAAAGAAACTTAAAATATATGCTTATTCATAATTAATTAAATTTGTTGTTTGTTTAATTATATTTATTGTACGTGTTTTGATTGTCAAACTGTTCGACAGTATTAGAAGCAATAACAAAATTGCAACATACCAATTGTTAACCAAAACTATCAATGGCAGCCAATGAAAAGTCAATATCATAAATAAAGATCAAACTACAAATTCATTTTTCAGTGCCCACTTCAGAGCTATTAAATAGTTAAATCACTAGTGTGAAATATTTACACAAGCCCCCAGCGTCAGTGTTCCGACAAGACTATGGGTATATCTGTACTTCTGCCTTAATAGATCACCTTAAGAATATGTGAATTATTATAATACATCTGAAGTTTAATATGTGTGTTAATCTTCCTAATATATGACAGTGAAAACCAAATCTCAGTTGTTTAAAATTGTGTGCATATATTGAGAAACTAAGTCTTATTGTACATAAATTCATTCATGTATATACATACAAACATATATACCAACCCGTTCTCGCACTTGCTTCAGTCAATATTGGCTTATTTAATAAGTGCATATGTGACATACTAATTGATTGTGAATATTTTAGTTTACCTTGAAAAGCTTCATAGAAAACATCGACCTCACCTAACCTTCTTAGTATGTTAAGATAAGCATCTTATTGCTTCTTATTTACAATTATTACTTAACGTATCAACGGTATAGGTTAAGTAATAATTGTAATTAAGAAGCCACGATTGTCAAGCTCAATAAACGTGGGCAAATAATATTTCAATTACTTGGGCCCCTAGGAGCCTCGAACCTCCGACCCCTAGACGGTAAATTGGTACACAGGATTCTCAGGTTTTAGGCCCCACTCCTTCCACGACGCATCAAGGTCGCACTATAAGGTCAAAAGATACAAAAAATAACTAAAACAAGAGAAGGGAACTGCAGCCCAGTGAAGCAGATAGTGAGAGAGAAGCGCTGTAAAATGCGGTAGTGACAGTGCTCTTATTGTGACGGTGGTGGTGGTGGCAACTGGCCGTGGTGGTGGTGAAGGCAGACGGCCAGATGCCTCAGTCACCCATTAAGTGCATTTGAGCGCGCACTGTGCCGCCACTCTCTGCCTTTCTCGTCTTTTTTTTGTGTGTGTGTTAAAGTCTTGGCCTAAAATACCAGCTGATTCGGTAACTTTACTCACCATGAGAGTGCCCCTACCACCCTAGCAACAGATGCACCACCGCCCCCCTACCACCCTAGCAACAGATGCACCACCGCCCCCCTACCACCCTATCAACAGATGCACCACCGCCCCCCTACAACTGCACCTTTAACCTCTAAGTGAAGGAAGAAGGAACATGAACGCGCGCTCCTCCACGAAAGACAACCAAGACGAGGTGACAGCTCCTCGTCCCTCCAAGTGTGTGAAGAGAAAGTACTTGTTCTGTACCTAATACGATATATATAAATATATACATTAGAGGTAGCTTGTGGATACGTCGTCCCCCTTACCTACGAAGGTAGGTCTTCCCCTAGCGTACAAAGGCAGGCCTCCCAGTGATAAGATTAAAATTGATAGTTGATCGTAAACTGCTGGGTAACCATTCAAGGGTTTACGTTTGAGGAACAGTTCACCACTCTGCTAAGCAATGAGGCTACGAGTGGTGGTGTCAGTGGTGTTGTCAATGTGGGCGGAGGTGGTGGCAGGGGAGGCGCCGCTGGTGACCACGCATGAGGGCAGGGTGGCAGGAGTGATAGAAGCCTCCACTAAGGGCCGTGTATTCTACTCCTACTACGGCCTCCCATACGCCAAGCCGCCCTTGGGGCCTCTCAGACTCAAGGTAAATAATTCAGACGTTATTGAATATACATATATCCATGTTTATACTGAATTACAAAAGTATCTTCATACCGAGAATATTGTGCATGTTTCCTGAAGGCTGCAGTCACAGTTTCAGGCCCCAGACGTACCAGAGACTAGCGCAGACGTCAAACTTTTAAAAATGTTTCCCCCTCAAATCTGTATATCTTCCCACAGGATCCGGCTCCTGTTGAGCCATGGGAGGGTGTGCGTGATGGCTCTCGTCTCCCCGAGATGTGCCTTCAAGTTCCGTTTGGCGACACAGTCGCTGGAGTGCGACTGCCGCCCGAGGGCCTCTCCGGCAGCGAGGACTGCCTCTACCTCAATGTTTTCACCCCTAGGGTACGTGGTGGTCTCAGTACAGAGCTGCAGCTAGACACGAGAGGCGAGGCGTAAGATATATATGTAACATATTATATATGTTATGCCTAAGTAAAATTTTTATGAAAGTATGAATGAAATCGCAAAGGCCATTTTCCGTAGATTTTACCGCGCGTTTTCGGGGTATAATGGAAAACAGTACACTGAAGTTATTCGGGTTCAGTGATGAATATAGTGAATAATAAATGTGATTACAGTGATGATGACTGTAAGTAGAGAAGATGATTGCAGTGATGATGAGAGTGAGTAGTGAACGTGGCTCCAGTGATGAAGGCAGTGAATAATGAATATGGTTATGGTGATTAAGACAGTAAATAGTGAATATGTAAGACGAGGGGTGGAAAGTAAATAATTATGAAAAGAAGGCACTAATCCAGGAAGGCTATGTAGCAAAGAGGGGTGGGAAGGAGAAGTTAAGGGGGAAGCAGAGCACCAAGAGGTCAGAGAGGGGGAAGGGGGTAAGGGGAGACGTGGGAGAAACAGACCATCCCGGGCACCGCCGGGTAGCCACCCACCTCAGTCTATACTATAAACAATAATGTTTATCTCTTTTTCTGTTTGTCCAAAGCTGGAGACCAGACGCTTAGGGTTAGTGTTACCCAAATGGTGTGTACGATACGGGACAGACATAGGCTGGTCAGGCTAGGCCGAAGTCTGAAAGGAAGTCTGGGATGAAATGTAGTGACCATAGAGGGTGAAGTTACCCCTGCTGTTTACCCGTGCAATTTCTTAATAATATATTTACTGAGGGAAGGGGAAGCGGGGGTTCCGGGGTAATATATATATATATATATATATATATATATATATATATATATATATATATATATATATATATATATATATATATATATATATATATATAATGTACACGTCTGCAGAAAATAACCAACACTGTAATGCAATAACCGACTGTAACCCAACAGCAGGAGCCCGCAGGACTCCGGGACCAGCCCGCAGGACTCCGGGACCAGCCTGCAGGACTCCCCGTCATGGTGTACATTCATGGGGGCGGGTTCTTCTCTGGGGGCACCAACGAGTACCTGCCTCACGCCCTCCTCAACCACGACATCGTGCTGGTGGTCCTCCAGTACCGCCTTGGCACTCTAGGTAGGCACTCAGACATGTTGTACTCTGTAGCGCACTCAAGCAAGTCTTCGGCTCACGACCGAAGCTCACGGGGGTCTGAAGAGCCGGTTGGGCACGATTTCTTTCACCCGATGCTTCTGTTCACTTAGCAGTAAATAGGAACCAAGTCGTTTCATGGGCAAGGTCAGCAGTTGGTTTAGGTACAGGCGTCCTGTCCCCAGGGCGTCTGACGACCATGGTGACGGAGGACGGTGTAGGGTACAGGTACTGTAGGCACCTTCAGGTACCTACAGTATGGTGCCCAGCTACTTGGACCATTGGAAATCGAACGCAGACCCTGCAACACTCAAGGTCACCACGCTGGCGACCAGTCCCAAGTGGTTTTGGAACGTGTGTTAATCTACTTTCTCATCCCAGGGTTCTTGTCGACGGAGGACTCGGTGATCCCCGGCAACTTCGGGTTGAAGGACCAGACGCTGGCGCTCCAGTGGGTCCAGAGGAACATCCACCACTTCGGCGGAGACAAGACCAAGGTCACCATCTTCGGCCAGAGCGCCGGCGGTGCCTCCGTCCACTACCATATGTTATCACCTAAATCCGATGGTGAGCCAGAGAATATGAATGATTCTGGTGCATAATCATACATAATGATGAATACTTTCATGAATACTTTTATTACAATAACAGAAAACTCTTCGCCATAAGAAAATATATAAACTTTGGTCCAGGACTGTTTGCCCGGGCCATCATGCAATCCGGGACCAGCCTCTCGCCCTGGGCACTGGCGAGGACTCACAGGACGCAGGCGCAGTACGTGGCCGCCGCCCTCGGCTGCCCAACCCAGCGTGCAAGCCAAGCGATCCTACAGTGTCTTCAGGACTCTGACGGTCGCAGCCTCGCAGCCCTCGCTCACGATTTCTTTGTAAGTTGTTTATATTATATATATATATATATATATATATATATATATATATATATATATATATATATATATATATATATATATATATGTCGTACCTAGTAGCCAGAACTCACTTCTCAGCCTACTATGCAAGGCCCGATTTGCCTAATAAGCCAAGTTTTCATGAATTAATTGTTTTTCGACTACCTAACCTACCTAACCTAACCTAACCAAACTTTTTCGGCTACCTAACCTAACCTATAAAGATAGGTCAGGTTAGGTTAGGTAGGGTTGGTTAGGTTCGGTCATATATCTACGTTAATTTTAACTCCAATAAAAAAAATTGACCTCATACGTAATGAAATGGGTAGCTTTATCATTTCATAAGAAAAAAATTAGAGAAAATATATTAATTCATGAAAACTTGGCTTATTAGGCAAATCGGGCCATGCATAGTAGGCTGAGAAGTGCGTTCTGGCTACTAGGTACGACATATATATATATATATATATATATATATATATATATATATATATATATATATATATATATATATATATAATCTCAACGACGTCATCGTTGGCATCTTTGCGTTGGAACTAGAAATGTTGCTATATTTTTGAAGACTGCAAACCCTTTTAGCAGTAACTACTTAATTCCCAACCCTGTTTTGTTGTTGCAGCCATTCTTTAAATAATTCATTTGCAAACATTTTGACACCAAATTCCGTTAGTAATTGGACTGTAAGTGTTAAACTCCATGTTAGTCAAATGCCATATTTTACACGTGACTCCATGAAAATGGCCTAGGGGTGTTTATAATGGCTAATATTTCTGAAGGTATTTAATCTAGGCCTACCCCAATCAGCCTATGTTAGTTCTGTACTCCAGACCATTACCCTACAAATCTAGGTGAGGCTAGTCCCAAACTTGATGGCCCTCATCTTTGGACAGATATACAACCATACATTCTCTCTCATAGAGCTAGATATTCTAAGGTTCCTCTAGCATTTATCTTCCAAAATGGCTGTGGTATTTATGTTCCAAGACACGAATCATTCCAGCTGGCGAGCCTTGTGGAATTGTCATTTTGCTGTGACTATCCTAATGTTATTTATACTTCACTATGACTATCCTTCCGTGAGTCACAATATAGTTTGAGTACCCTTAGAACTGTCTAATGAATTTCTCTCAACTAGTTTGCTACAAATTATAATTTTCTCCTCTACTTGTCTAGAGATACTTCAGGTACTGATGGATCCTCTCGCTTGATGATCCATTAATATATTTTCTCACACCAAGTTTTGTGACCTTGTTATATACGTACTCATTAGTCCTCTCGTGGATGATTCATGGATGCTTGCCTTGTTTCTGTGTTACAGAAATGGTCCATTCTGCCCATGACAGTCACGCCTCGCGTGGACGGGGACTTCCTGCAGGAGGAACCCGGCCTGCTGGTACGGGAGGGACGCTTCAGAAAGGTGGAGCTCATGGCTGGGTCTGTGCGTGAAGAAGGAGCCATGTTTACCCATGGTGGGCTTACCTGACTCTGCGACCTCATGACCAGCATATGAAAATACAAATATGCAAATATCCGAATAATAGCGAATATTGATTTGCATGTTAATCATATCACAAATATTGTGTTATGTAAATTAGGCTATTTTTTAATTTTTGGATAGGCTTAATTTATATGGACTGATTCAGTTGTATTTTTGGAAGCATTTAATAAATTTGCCTTATAATTCAGCCATGTTGACCAACAAGGAGCTTGTATCTGCCTTGAAGTCCAACTTCAGTGAGATTGCGCCAGTGACTCTGCAGTGTGAGGGCGAGAGTGCCGACCCCGTAGCCCTGGCACGCAGCATCTTCACTTACTACCTTGGCGACCAGGAGCTAGAGCCCGTGGCTCGTAGCGACCAGCTTACCAAGGTACACATCACGCTTGGAAAGTTGTTTTAGTTTCCCCTGTATTGTTAAGTGGCACAGTTTTCTAATTATATAGCTTAGATTTATTTATTTAGCCTTTATTTAATGACTAGTTGCAGTTAATATACTTTATTGAACTATTTTAGCAGTTTTATTTTGGCATTTGTTTAAACGAAGTTTATAAAAAGCTGCATTGTCACCGAACTGGGCGATAATATTGTTTCATGTTAACTCCAAGATTTCTCGCTGTAAGCACATTATATATAAAATGTAGTGGTCGTCCACCCCGGGCTCACCATAGCCCGTGCTACTTAGAACTTTTATACCAAGTAGCCGACTTTAAATCAACAACAACGGGTGGTGACCCGCTCTTCACCCCAGATGTTCAGTGACCGCCTAGTGAGCGTGGACGTGGAGCAGGTGGTGAAGCACCAGGCCAAGTTCACCAGCACCTACAGATACGTCCTGACGCACCGGGGCCACCTGTCCTTCTCCGACGTCTTCCCGACAGACGTCGGCAGCCACTGTGAGTCCCTCTCGAAGAGCGTCTTGACGCTTCCAGCTCCGAACACACAAATAATTTTTTCATGCAGGTCGGCGTTCAATCCCCGACCGTCCAAGTGGTTGCGCACCATTCCTTCCCCCCGTCCCATCCCAAATCTTTATTCTGACCTCTTCCCAGTGCTATATAGTCGTAATGTCTTGGCGCTTTCCCCCTGATAGTTCCCTTCCCTTCAGAGTAGAGTAAATAACCTGTTGAACTCTGTTGATCTTAATACCCGTTGTCGGGTGACAGGGAGCCTGTACTTATACTCACCGAGGTCTTCCCAATCCATCTATTGACCTTCAGAATGCAACCCACAACAGGTGCCTAACTCCCATGCCTCTATTTCACTGCTAGATGAACAGGGATATCAGGCAAATGGAAGTGTGCCCAACCGTTTCTGTCTTGCTCGGGGATTGAACCCGGGTCCCTTGTATGTAGACAATGGTAAGCTTTATATTGACAACACCACAATAGCTCGCTGACTCACTATAGCTAGTAAGCCACAGTTCTGCGATAAAGCTTAAAGAAAGATGTAAACTCTTACTGTAAGCTCCCAGAAAGTAGTCATATCATTTTTGGCATCTGGCTTTGCGACAAGCAATACTTGGCTTGGTGTTAGGCTTAAGGCCTATATCACCTTATGGAGGGTTATTAAGGCCAACCACAAGTACTTAACTGACCGACCAGCATATATACTTTTGTCCAGTAAAAAAGAACACGAAAGTAATCTCTTAGTGTATACACACCGAGGACCAGAGGTATACCTCTCAGTGTGTGTACTCCTGTTGCAAAATTACGAAAATAAGTCTTTAACAAATATAATTCACTGAAGACAAACGTAACTATTTAAGCTTGATAAAACATTACGCCACCAGCTACCACCTCAGTGACATAACTCCGGTTACCCCACAAGACAATTCAACACTAGTTATTAACACAATATAACATCAGTTATCAAAATAATAAAACACTTGCAATGAACTCAATAGTACAAAACTTGAAATTAACTCTGTTCAAATCTCTCTACCTCTCCCATCCTTTCCAAACCTTTTGGACACCAAAGCTGAACCAGTCATTAACTCCTAAATTGCACGGTCAAAAAAGGCCTAGTTTCAGTGTTCAAGCCTCGCATAGAACAGACCAAATTTTAAAATTATGCAAAACTTATGCACGGAGGAGAGAATAGCGGCCAAATATCTTTATTGTGAATAGTAACACAACTATTTAAGATCCATATGTACTCACAAGCCTTCTTTTAAGTCGTGTGGTGGTGTCTTCCTCAGGGGTGTCCCATTGCGATGACCTTCTCTACTTGTTCCGTGCTGACTCCATACTCAAGCTCCCTCACGACCTCCAGGACCACGTCGACCTCCACCTGAGAGACACCATCACCTCCCTCTGGACCAACTTCGCTGCCACAGGGTAATGGGGAGAGTAATGGGTAGTTACTCTGTACTAACTTTTCTATCACATGGTAATGGGGAGAGGATTGGGTAATCACTTTATATCAGATTAGACCACAAGAGGCATGAAACACAGACTCTCATAAAAATTCTCTAATCAAGACATAAGTCAATGGTGCCTCTATTGCAATCTTCAGAAGCTTAACTTTGCAAGGTCAAAATTAAACAAAAATGTTATATTTTTGTACATATACAGGCTCTCTGGTCAGTGGTTTTACGGTGAAATAATCTACAGTTCCCGCTAGGAAAGCTTTAAACAATACAGTCATCTGCTTCAGTAGACTGTATTCTGTCTCAGGATCAATCTGATGAAACTTAGTTCTAATCTTCACTTGCAATTTTTCTGCCACAAATGTAATCTGATATACTATGGAGAAAATATGCCTGCAAGAGGATAAGTAATGAGCGTTGTAACAATCAGCATTTCCCTTGTATATGTGCAGTTATTTGTTAGAGACTACGTTTTAGGGATTTTTTTTTTTTACCTTCCCGCATCTATAATCCAGCATTTTGGTTTCACATGTTAGGAACAGGAAGTGTGCTAAAAGTTTATCGAGATTCCCCTAGCCAAGGTTCAGGTTGTTTCAGCAGACACACACAACCAGTTACTAGCCAGTTACAATTGTGTTTAACCTCACTGACTGAGTGATGTGCACGTCACCCACTGCGCCAAACCATAAAAAAGGAGACAAAATAACACAGGTTTTTTTGTTATTGTATCTCAAGTCTTTTCTCAGGCACGATCCTCTTGTCACTAAGGAAAAACAAACCTCCTCCCAAACATAATCCTCCTGTCGCTAAGGAAAAACGAGCAATAACAAACTCCAGAGAGAGCTATGGTAACGAGAGCGAGTAATGTGCAGCACCACATGGAAGGGTGAGGCTTGCGCACACTCACCACTCAGGGGTAACCTAATTTCAGGAACCCGACTCCTGACGACTCTCTTGGGTTCACCTGGCGGCCCTCCACCGAGGATAACCTCCAGTACCTCGCCCTCACCCCAAATCCCACTATGGAGGCCGACCTCCGCCACGAAGTAAGTTTTATTTGATTAATAATGATATATGACACAATATGTAACATTCTACAAACATAATATGTGGTAATGTATCATCACAACTCCCGGCAGCCATTACTATGGTTCAATAACCACCAGGTGAGGCGGTTCCATGCGTCGCTACCAACCACAATGAACCAGGCCCTCCACCCCCAGCTGGTGGGGAACCACGACCAGTTACCTGCAGGTGTTGTTGAAGCTTCTAGCGACGGTGACAACGGAAGAGACGAGCTGTAGTACCATCACTGTAGCTCATCACTGTAGACCAGCTCACATGCACGACTCATCATGCGTCTGGCGCCTCAGACACTAGACCTGTTCTCAGGCCAGGCTGGGTGAAGCTCCATCCGACTCTCGCAAGAAGCATTGATTAATTTTAACGTTTCGAACGTTAAAAACAAGGTTGTTCTCTTTTATATATTTATATTATTATATGCAAAAGTTCTGTGTATAATTAGGTGTAGGTTACGTTAGGTACTTAGGTGTTGTTGGCGAATATTTGTATTTGTATTTCGTGGGTGAAGCAGTTATAGAGCTGCGATTCGAACAGATGTCGCCAACGAAGCACTTAATGAAAAGTGTTCGAACGTCACTAGTGTTGAGTCATATGTAAATCGTTTTGTAAAGTCGTATGTAAACCGTTCATAAACAGGGGGTTTGGCGGGTTCGTGGAATGGACTTTGGCCTTTGTTCATGAGGACGGGCTGGTTTATGAAAGAAAAACGGTTTAAACACGACTCACATCTGAAGTCGTCCGAACACTTCCGGAACAAGTGCTTCGCTGACGACTTTTGTTCGAATCACAACGCTGTAAATGCTTCACCCACGTACCACAAATACAAATAATCGTCAGGAGAACCTAAACACCTAACTAGTGCCTAAATATTCACAATATGCTTATATATATAATGACATTAATTCATATTTGAGAAAATTCCTGTTTTGAATGACCAGCATGTTAAAATTTATGAATGTCTTTGGGGGTTAACCGCTCGATTGAATGGACTTGGGTCTTAGGACGGGTTGCCCTAAACATTCAGTTTTACCCATAAATATTAAGGCATGCCTATAATGTAAAAAGTAATCATTACCAGTCTTGAGTGTGTAAGGAATAATATATTATGTTGTAACCTATCCTCACCTCACCTATCCTAACCTAACATCACCTATCTCAACCAAACCTAGCATAACCTCACCTATCCTAATTTACCTTCACCACACCTATCGTAACCTAACCTAACAGAGTCATTAAGTTAAGCCCGCACTTTCAACAGACACAAGAATTGGGACAATTTGATAGTTAATGGTTATAATACTGTATATGGTTGTGCACATGCATGTCCTAATTAGAAAAATTATTTTATATACCTATTCATAATAGTGCCTTTGTATTGTTTCAAAGGCTTCCATTATTTGTGAATATATATGTTAAGATATATAATTACTGTGACGAGTATTAGTATCCTGCCTCTTGTGGTGGCCTATAGCAGGGTTTAAGTCCAGTGTGGCAGCGACGGCCCCCATCGTACCCATGGTGGGAGAGGTCCCAGCCTGCACAACATTACAGTTGTCTTGTGCGAGCATAGATGGCTTAAGAGTAAATTAAACCAGGAAGGCAAACTCTAGACAGCCTTCAAACGCCAACAAAAGGATGGGAAAGATATACAAAAAAATAAAACAGCACACTTTTTATATCTCAGCTCCACAAGCATGTTTAGTATGCACACGGCATTGCGGGACCTGTTGGCCAGAACTCGCCACGTGAGGGGTGTCTCTCACACTCTTCAACTGACTGTAGAGCGAGTATTGTTATTGACGACCACAGTCTCTCTTCTCCGGACTTGTGACTTGTTGTTAGAGGAGCGGCGAGGTACCACCTCCAGGAACAATGGCAGCTACAACTCGTCTTGGGAGATGCGTGATGAACCACCTTCCCGGGCGGCGTCCTCGACGGCGTCGCCTGCTTCAGGTGTGTCCTGCTTCACCAGGTGGGGGTGGAGCACCAGGTTCACCTTAGTCGGCAACGATGCATGGAACATACGCATCTGTGGCGCCAAATTACAGCAGTTAGGGAAACAGAAGAGTCTTTCATATGAGGAAGAATTCGATAGCATGTGTCATCCAAATCATTTTCTATTTAACCTTTGCTAATCTTACCTACAAACATATTGAAGACATTGCAGAATATATGGAGGTCCAATTCGAGTTAAATTTAGTTCTATGATAGTCTGAATGCGTGTCATTAGGTTGGATGATCCTGTTGAAGGATTTCCTTCAACAGGATTGCCTCATATCTGCGTCTGACGTATGCTCACAGGCTCCAAAATTCTCGTACAATCGAGAACTAATCACCACATCAAAATCCATTTATAAATGTTCAAAAAAGACAAATAATTCCGATGCTCTATAAAAAGAAATATAGTAAAACTATCATCAAATTGTATTCTTCAACTTCATCTTGCCTTAACTGAATTAAGATTGTTCATTTAACTTTAGGGCAGCACACACAGAGTGAGCGAGGCTGTTGTAGCCTATGCGTTCTACGTGCAGAAATTGAGGATGGAGCCAAATAATTTTTATTTTCGTTTCTTTTTAGGACATGAGATGCTGCCATTAAATCTAAGTGTAAAGAGGGATTGATGTAGTTGATAATAGTGATAAAACTCGGAATAAACAGGGTGTTCGCTGTCACAATTTGAAACACAAGTCGGTACGTGTACAGTGACACCAGACACGGGGCTCCCGCCAGCAGGCTTGTCCTGGGGCTCGGGAGAAGCTGATCTTCCTGAAGAAGACGCGTGAGCCTGGTCATCCACCACACCAGTCTAAGGGGTTGGACGAAGAGACATGCCCCAGAAAGTCGAAGATGGTCTTCACGCTCCGGTCCCCTTCTTCCTATCCCCACGGAGCACTTCAGGGAGAAGCCAAAGGGCAGAACAAGCGCCCGAGGGACAGTACACACAGGTCAACTTCGCGAAGTCCGGCGTAACACTAGGGACCGACAGAGGTCTCGAACCCTTGATACGGAACCTCCATTAATCCTCCCGTTTTACCCCTTTTGTCCAACCATACAGAGTGTCCCCTCCCCCACTTCCCTCCCCAAGGGAACCGCTGGACAGACTACATGGAGGGAAACTATATAAGGACCTCTCTGCAAGTCTGACACGTAGTGATTACTGATATATGACGCATATAAGTATTCATATACGTTATATATGACAATTATCGGCATATATGATACATGAACAAGAGTAAAGAAACATCAATATGTAGAGGATTAGTTTAGACTTTAAATGGCAAGAGAACGCACGTGATGACGTTGGTCGGCCTCCATTGAGGGCGAGGGCGTGAGGTTGAGGTACTGGAGGTTGTCCTCGGTGGAGGGCTCCCAGGTGAACCCAAGAGAGGCGTCAGGAGTCGGGTTCCTGCAGGAGAGAACCAACCAAAGGCTGATACGACTTTCTGGTCATTCAGTAACCTCTATTTCAGTAATGTTTTACTGAATGTTTTAGTAACGAAGGAACTAATGTTCTAATGTTTTAGATGAAGGAACTGGGAGATGGTAGCGGAGAATGATGTCTAAATGTATTTTGTGAGTGGCAATGCTATTTTAAGGTCATTAAGTCAATGTAAATAGCTGAATCAAGATGACTTAACTAGTAACTGATAACATCTATATAAAGAAATTGTTTACGCATCGTTATTAAACCAGAAAGTTTATCATTAATATTACTGCTTTAACCTAAGGTTGAGCAATGTTGCATAACTCTGCTAATATGTGAAAATAAATTCGAGATAAGGCACAGGTATTGTATTGAATCAGCATTCCTTCCTCATTAACCTGAGTCAGAGAAGTTGGTCAAAAGATGGTCCACTACCCCCTGCTCCTTCTGCTCCTTACCCTGTGGCAGCGAAGTTGAGCCAGAGGGAGACGATGATTTTCCGAAGCTGAAGGTCATCTTTACGATGTAGGTCTGTTTTCCCTCTGAAAGCCGGGCTGATCATCTCAAACATGGGGCCCGGCCGGAACAGGTAGAATATATCGTCGCCGTGAGACACCCCTAAAGGAGGACACCCCCGTCAGTAGGTTCGTAGCACTTTGTTACTGGCAATTGACATGTTTGGAAATATCTCGAGCGTCAGCTGAGGTAAGTTAACCCCCCGGGCAAAACTGGGCGAATACCCTTGATATAACAGCATTAAAAATGTTGTTATGGAGTATATCCCCCACAGGGATATACCTAGACAATTATACTCATGGGGTAAACTGCTGTAATCACGTTCAGTGGTCAAGTGCTTAATAGCACACTAGTTTCTGTAACAGCTATTTTACCCTGTCAAAGTAGGAAAGACATAAATGTATGTGTATGTATGTATGTATATATGTATAAAAAGACACTTCGAACATTGTTTATGTAAGACATGTAAATCTGTGTATTTATGTATTTCTGCCTAGTATGGGCAAATAGTCCTTCTGCAGTTGCAGTTACCTTTATTCTTAACTTCCTATGTTCTGTATGTAGGTTAGATTAGTATTTTAAAAGCACTACAATCACCTTTTGTGGTCGATTGTTCAATAAATCACTGAACTATATGCTTAACAGATCTCTAACCCAGTCCATGGAGGACATAAGATAATAAATATATCCTGGTTAGCATTGTAAATGTGTGGCCACGTTTGAGGTAGACAATAATAATAATAATAATAATAATTAACTGATTCATCTGTGCACCTTGTAGTAAATAGGTATCGGGAAGTTAGGCGATTGTTGTGGATAGAATCATAGAGAAGGTCAAGTCGTTTCACTAGGAACTCCTCACTAATCCTAGCAGTTGGCTTTTTGTCCCCCTAAGGAACAGCAACGACCTCCTGCTGAAAAGCTCAGCCCGTCCTCCCGAGCGTTCCCAAAGTCACTAAACTGATGAACTAAATTGCCCGAACTTAACCTAATAAAAGACTCACGAAGGGTAAAAGGGACATCACGCCAATTTTGCGACTCGTCATTATTGTTAGTACAGCAGTTTTTGGTCTAAGGGGGAATTTATACGTCAAAATGCAAGGTACTATTCATGAAGAGGGGTTGGCGTGCCTCAACTCACAGCGACTGTCAGGACTGGCGCCGAATAAGGTGGAGAGGGAGAGTTCAGCACGGTGGGTGATCTCGTATCTGTAGGTGCGGGAGTCCGGTCCCTGGTGCTTGGCGTGATGCTGCGTCGCCCAGTCGTGACACATCTTGAAGTGTCTGTTTGACATCATCTGCAAATAACAAGGTGGTATTAACAGTAATCAAGAAGGCAGCTGCAGTCTGCTTATAGCGGCAAACCGTACATATAAACACACGCTACTCAATGTAACTATGGCGACGGGCTCACCTCAATGAGATCTCCTTTGCGACCAGAGTCCACCTTCACCTCCCCGATGTAGTAACGATACAATCTGAGGGCCAAGCCCACGGGATCGTCTGTGTCGTCGATGGACTGGACGCTGGCCGGGCCCGCCACATCGAAGTCGTTCTCTAGCGCCAGGCGGAGGGGCTCTATGGCATACATGGCTGTAGGGGGAGGATACCCACTCACAGGAACCAATCATATTGGAAATAACACAAAACACATATGAAAAGAAATTAAATTGACGACGTTTTGGTCCGTTATGATTTGATAAGGGTTTGGGATGACTGCCAAGTTGTCACGTAAGGGTCCAGGACGGACTGAAACGTTGTCATATTAGGGTCCAGGACGGACCGAAACAGTAAAATAAGGCTCCCGGACGGACCGAAACGTCATCAGTTCCCATTCTATCCACATCAGAAGGTTGGATTATTTGTATCGGCCCAGTAATTATAACTTATTCTCTGGACTTAATTATAAGTAATGCATAATTCAGAACACTGAGGGACTGGTGTCTAATGAATTACAATTATATATATAAGCAGAGCAAATGATACACAATTAATACACCGATTGTCTCTTTCTGAATGTCAAGTTGATGATTTTTACTGACTATTTAACAGGATTTATGAAGTATAAAAGGAAACCAAAGCAAAAGAAATTCAAATTACTGAAATTAAAAAGTATAAAATAGCGTAAAAAAACTTAGAATACAGCGCTAGTGAAAGAAGAAAATATATAATGAACATCAAGACAATATTTTACACACTAAATAATAGAAGACTATGTCAAAAAACTATTTAATAAAGTATTTAAAGTACAAAAAATGTCCTGAAATTTTGTGAGTGAGAGTGAAAGAGAAATACATAGAATGTATTATAGAGAAAACAAGTTCAGTCAGTATATATTAGACGACCGAAAGTAAGAAAGACAGGGTTCAAAAACTAGAGCTCAAGCCACAAATATGGGAGTACACAAAGGTAACGAGGAGTAACTAACGTAGAGTAAACAAGACTCCTTCGTGGGCAGTGACGCCACTCACGAGGGGAACCTTGTG